GTCTGTACAGCCGCCGGATCGTTTGTACAGTTGGCTTCCCCAGGAACCGCTGTCCTCGTGCGGCGCCCGGGAGCGGCTCGGCGGGTCTCCCCGCAATGATCAGAGAGAAATTCAGCCGCTTCCAGCCGCTGATCTCTCCTCCGATCGCTGGACCCGGAAGTGATGTGTATTACATCACTTTCGGCGTCACTCTTACAGTCTCTGGCTCTTAGAGCCAGGAGATGAAGCTGGGGAAGCAGATCTGTGCTTCCTCAGCTTCTTTGGGGTCCTGAGGTGACATTAGGGGTCTGAAAGACCCCTTATGTCTCCATAAAGAGGACCTGTCACACCCTATCTGCTATTACATAGGGTGCTTGTTATCCCCCTATGTGATAGCAATAGGGTTAGTTTAAAAAAATGCAAAATAAATTTTTTGTTAAGTCCCCCACGCACATACACACGCAAACACGCGTTGGTGCGCCTACGTGCAAAAAACAATTGCGCTACACGTGTTACATATCGCTGCGAACGTCAGAGTGAGAGTCTATTGTGAATAGCCCGTACAGCAGCCTTTCGGGGGCAGAGGCGGCTGAACCAAAGCGCACGTGCGCATGTGTGTATTAAGGGGGAAACCTAGGTTGGATCCAAGAGATTGCATCCATTATTATATACCCCAAATAAACTATTTATGATGTATTTACACCCAGTTGCCCACAGTACATGATGTGTCTGTTTACTAGCAAAAGTTAAAATTTCCCAAATAGGTTTCCACCATGTATACATCTCTAAACTCTGCAAAATAGGTGTAAGTAATGTACAGATGTGTATACAATTAATACAAATTTAAAAAAAACTTTTATTATTGAACACACAGATATAAACCTATCCCTATAAACATCTATTTTACATGGTTTTCAGAGATGTATACATGGTGGAAACCTATTTGGGGAGGTGCTGGACAGAGCTGTAAGAGGTCTGTCCCTGCCTCCGTTCACAGGGGAAATGCTGGGATGTCATACGTGACATTACTATACTCCTGAAGTAAAAAGAATAAGGTTGCATTCTGTTTACACTTCTACAGTGTGTTCCTATGGAGCGAGCTGTAGAAACATCAGAATCCCCGGAGCTCATCGTTTCAGCTTCTGGGCTTTGTGCTGGTTTCCGGCTGACAAAGTGCCAACGTTGAGAACAGAGTGTGCTTACTATAACTACAACTATGAATGAACAGGAGGTGATGTAGCTCACTTCCCATTCATTCATAATTGAGGATATAGTAACCATACCATGTCCTGAATTATCTACAAACACTCAGTGATCACTGAGTGTTTGTAACCTGGCTCCACTGTGCTATCACATAGGGGGCTCGCAAGCCCCCTATGTGATAGCACATTGGAGGTGACAGGTTCTCTTCAATGTGACAGTAGGGTTATATTAAACCCCTAGTGTCACCAGGTGTGCTCCTCTGATCCATAGTGGTTGGGAGCAATAACCAGCCTGCCATTAGCTATTTCAAATAGCAATAGCCGGCTGAATGTTGCAACCTCTAATATTTGCTGTGCTTACAATCAGCTCCCGGCGGCATAATCTTGCTGCGGGCAGCTGTCATTTACTTGGTTCCAGCCTGGACATCTGCTGGACTTCGCTCCCCCACATCACCCCATTCCCAAGACCACCCCACTCACACCCAACCATCTCCCGCTGGCCGCTCCGCAGCTTCTGCCAGCTCCGCTTCCCCCTCTACTATTCAGCAGAGGAGCGGACCTGAAGGAGAACTTATTCAGGTCCCCTCCTCTGCTGATTGACAGCAGGCAGTGGGCGGGTCCAATAGCCAACCTGCGATTGGCTATTGAATTTTGAAATAGCCAATAGCAGGTTTGGTATTGTTTTCAGTCACTGCAGTACGATCTTACCTCCGTTCGTTAAATGGTATACGGGGAAGTGGAGCGAGCAGAGGCAACGGAGCTGCCAGCGGGAGATGGTGAGGTGTGATGAGGGGGTCTTGTGAATGGGGTGATGTGGGGGAGCGGAATTACCGCCGCAGTGCAGAAAACGTGTGGCAGGGGCTTCAGATTGGTGGGCAGTGTTTGAAGCTTGTACTGTGGGCGGGCAGGGGAGGTGGGTCATTATCGGCAAATTTTTTGTTTCGGCATTTCCCCAAAAGTGCTATTTTCGGCCGATTTATGTATCGGTCTCCGATATATCGGTGCATACCTAATATATATAATTTTCCATTTTTTTGTGTCTAGAGTACATAGAAAATAAAATAATTTCACTTGCTACTTTGTTATCTTAATGACAAGGTTATTGCTGAATAAACAGGCCCATTGTGGAAATGTAAAAAGTGGTACACTGCTGCTTGTCTGTAGTATAAAGGTATGAGAGCTGAAGTGGTTAAATCAGTGGAAACAGGCCAGAAGCTCTGATCAGAAACCTGGACAAAAATTGAGATGCCCAATATACCAAATCTAAGGTGGTGACAACAATAATGTACCTTGACACACCTGCTGCAATGTGAAATGAGACTGCACAACTTTACCAAACTCTACTTTCTCACGATGACTTTACAGGTAGTTTGTGATCTATTATTAAAAACTGCCTTTCCGTTTCAATCACAGGCGCCTAGAATTTTGTAAATCTGTCAAATAAATTGTGTTCCTTCCTTGTAACTATGGCAGTAGTGGGAGCACTGTGTGCATGAACGACCCCAGGGATATCATTTATTGTTGGTGTGATTGTCCTTCTGTGAATGCATGCATTGTTTTCCACATAAAAAGAGTGAATAGGAATCTGCCATGAAGTTTGCTAAATGTTCTACAATGTATAGAGCTGACCTGGAGAGGTTTTATGTTGTCATCAACAGCAGAGTTTAACTTTACAGACCCACTCCAGCCAAAACTCTTTAGTGGCGGATACAGCAGAAATGGGTTGGAACTTTGTTGGGTTTTAATGCTGTCTCTGTTTCCATTTAGGATATTTCTCTTCACTTTCTGTCTGTATGACCGGTGTCAAACAAAAAGAAAATCAGGAGAAATCCCACAAATGGGGAAAACACTGAAAATACAATTTCTAAACATCTGCCAGATTTGTATTGCTATCTTTGTGCTCACTGAGGAGCATTCCCCTCAATTCCTGTCTAGGTTATGAGTGTCAAAAAACATGAGACAAATATCTCCCAGCTCTGACACGAGCAGCATTTCAAACCTGGCCGAGGTTCTTCCAACCCGTGTCCACACCATCCAAAACTAAAAAAAAAACACAAAAGTTTTGGCAGGGATTGGGTTTTAAGATGTGCTTGTTGCCTCTGGACTGCTAGTTATCGTGGTATTACAATGCCGTTCTGCATGTTGAAGTGTTTATCTTGCTGGTTTATTTAGTTGGCAGCAGAAGACAAAGGTTCTGCCCTTCTTTACAATGTGGTGGATGAGATTGTAGAGTTCAGAAGCAAGGTGCGTAACTATGCCTTGTCAGCGGAAGAGATGGGACAAGATTTGGGTCTTACAAAAGAAGATATTAACCAGAGTAAGGAGAGAAGGAAAAGCATTCTGAAAGAACGGGAGCCACTCATGCGTGCCTGTGATACTATGCGCCAGAATCTAGCTGGATATGGTATAAATATTAAGGTTAGTTTTCTTTGTTTTTGAGAAAATATACGGATAAAACTAGATTTTCTTCCTGCATTTAGTGGGGGACAGTCTTTAACCTTTGGGTACATGTTCCTGCCTCTTGGTCCTTGTTAGCACTTCTGCCTTGCAGCACTGGGTGTCCTCAGTTCAAGGCCCGCTCAGGACACTACCTGTAAAGAGTTTGCATGTTCTCGCTGTGCTTGTGTGGGTTTCCTCCAGGTACCCCAGTTCATCCCACACTCCAAAGACATGCAGGAAGGTTGATTTGGCTCCTGTCTAAAATTGGCCCTGTCTATTGATATCTGCTCCTGCACAGCCTTCACCTGCTTCAGGGACACAGCAAACCAGTCTGGCAGCCCATTGTCCTTCCACGGGTAGCTGTGGGTCTCCTGAAATATATCTAAAGACAAAACTTTTTTTTTTTTCCATTTGGGACGGAGTAAGAGTTAAAACTGCTGTCAGTTTTTGTTGCCTTATGTCCCGTTAGGGAGCTTTCCCTTCCTGCCCAGCAGATTTAACAGGAAGTGAGAGGATATCTTTCCCTGCTCCTCTGCTACTTCTTCGCTCATTGTCCGTTCACAGGGAGACACCTGTAAGTGAAAGTAAAACTGAGAGAAAAATCAGGTTCCTTCCGCTGCCAGACAGGGCTGTGCTATGTGGCAGATATGTAAATCGCAGGACTAGCTGGACAGAAATACAAATCCTTTTGGCAGTTAAAACGGCTCTCATTTCTTTGTTTTAAAAGTGTGTTTGTCTGCCTGGGGTTCAGCTTTACCTAGTGAATACTGCACAAAGCAGTGATTATATGTTCTACGGCAATGTTCAACTTGATCTCACTATTTTATATGTTGGTTGTTTTTTTTTTTTTGAAGGACCGAGGAAATTCTTCTACATGGGAGCTGCAACATAAAAATACGGACGAGTAACGTTTGCAATTTTTGTTTGTGTAAATGTATTTCACTTCACTCAAATATATTTGTATTTTTTTTACAAGATGACTGATGTGTTCATTTATTACATAAAAATAATCTGTTTCTCTACATGATGCAGATCTGCTTCCCCCATACAAGTTACATTTGCTGTGATTTGCAGTACATATCCGTAACTGCTTACAGAAGTACTACCTACACAACGGTCGCTGCAAATACAACAGTGGACATCTCTATTGCAGAAAATGCGTAAAAACACAATTCCAGGGGTATCAAATACCTGCTTCCAGTTCATATGCTGGCTCCCGCTTCCTGTAATGGGGTTTTACTAGATTTCATCAACAGAAACCCCTCAAAAATGAAACCAACATTGATGAAATGTCGTATAAATAGGATGTAGTCTTCTATTCAGCCAGCAGTTGGCGCTCTTGGATTCTTTCACATTTTCTGCTTAGTGCATGTTGCTTTTACAAAGCTTGTTTAGAGAGCTGAAACTGAAATGTACCCAGAAAAGGGAACGAGTCAGAGAAGAGACTTATGTAAGGTATACACGGGTAGATTTACCAACAAACAGTACAAAAAATCTTGTTGGAGCGTTAGAAAATTCTGTCAGACACTTGATAAATCTAATTTGAAATTTAATTTCTTTTGATTAATCATTTGATTTTGGAATGAATGGAGTTTCCCGACTGAAAACTATATTCACTGTAAAGCTGGCCATACACCTTACAATTATCTGCAGATTCTGCATGGTCAGATGGAAAAAGTGCAACAGATTCCTCCATCTACACTTAACTGTGTGAAACAGTTAAGTTTAAAGCTTATAAATAAAAGTGGACCGTTGTAAGCACCCCTGTAGCTGTTACTTTTGCTGGACAGCTTAGCCAGCATGGAAATGTAGACAATAAAGGCTTTTGAAATCTAAAAAGGAATTCCTATACCAAATCCTATAACACAATTTAGTTGTTTTTTTTTTAAGGACAGTGGTCCTTTAAGGTCCCCTCTCTTCACTAACTGGTGATATCTCTTCTGACTGGAATGTTTAAATGCCCACTTACTGTGCCTGAGAAGAGCCCTGCCGCTCTGCTAGTAATTCAGGACACAATATATTTTCTACTGAAGATTAATCAGATCTTCTTCTTTCCTGATGTTTTCATCTGTCCCTCCAGCGGTGCGGCGGCTCTCCGATCCAGCGCTGACTGCTCTGTCCCTCTGATCCAGCGGTGTCTGCATGCGGGTGCACGCGTCCATAGACTTACCGCGCATCTCTGCTCGTCTCCCGGCCGAGAATCAGACCTGCGCATGCGCCCGCCCTAAGATCCTTTGCGGCCGTACGAGCAGTTCCTGATCCTCAGCACGGGAGCGCGCAACGATAACGAGGTAATTTAAAACCTAGTTAAAGCTTTTTTTTTTTTTAAACTTCTTGCCTATATCTACTGCTTGCTAGAATAAGATATAGGCAAAAAGACGGAGGCTTTAGAACCCCTTTAATCTTTCCTTTCACTACATGTGAATCATAGATTTTAAACTTACCAGGCAAAGACGGTATCACCGTCACGAACCTGGTTCTCTTGCTGGTCTGTTCCCCCTCCATATAAAATGGATTAGATGAATCTTGTTTTACATTTTCAGGATGCATTGTCACATCCCCACTGTCTGGGAAGTTGTACTAATATAGAGCACAGAATTGCAAACAAACAATCTCCCAGACAGGGCCTTTTTTTAACCTTAACACACCTACATTTTCTGTACAGTGGTATCTACTTTTAACATCTGGCTATTCTCTTCTTCAGACACCATGCTTTTTTTTTCATGCATTTTTAAAGCACCCTTTGGGGATTATAAACACAGATCTTAATGAGAGTTCTGTCACTTTACATAAGCGGTAGCAGTCTTTCAGAAGGCTTTAGCACTTTGTGAAATGTTATAAAAATCTGCTCAAGCCTGAATTGGTGTAACCTAACAGCCAACACTCCCATTAAGATCTGTGATCAACATCCCCAAACTGGAGCTAAAGGCCTGTCACTTCCAAGGCTTAAAGGGACATGAAACTGAGGAGGTCATCTTAAAAATGCATTCAAGCACCTTAACTATTAACAAAAACGTATCTTATTTGTGTATCAGTCGGCTGTAGATCCTCAAATCCTCTCTGTATTCATGCTGACGCTGTCCTTCCTCCTGTCTGATTATATATTGGTATATGATCTATGTGATATGTGGGGGGGGAAAGATACTTTTCAGTGAAGAGGTTTCTCCATGGTCTACCAGATGAACAGTTTCCCATCTAGGGGATATCTGCAGGCATGTAGCATAATGCAGTGTCTGTTGATCTTTCAGGAAACAACATATCGAACAAGAATTATTTCCTTTTAAGTAAAGAGTATACGTGAACCCTCATAGAAGGAGGAGTGAAAATCCTGATGCAGGGATCTGGGGAAGAAAAGAAAAAAAGAAATCTTGAGTCCTGTATGGAATATTTAAAATTCTCTTCAGACAGAGAGCAGATCACATTCTATGGAAGTGAAGAGGAAGGCAGCTACAAATACTAAGGCAGAGATTCAACTATTACTTGAAAGGCTCTGAGCCATAGAACAAGACCCAAGAATACATCCAGTTAGAACAAAACATTTTCATGCTGAACGACAAGGGAAAAGTGGTATTGGCAGTTACAAAAAGAGATCTGTTAGATCAAGGAACAATTGTGGAGCAGTGTCCAAAATCCAGATTCTGCTAATCATGATGAGAAGTAAAAAAAAAAAAAGGTACTTGGACAGTAGGAAAAAAGTAAAGTATGTTAATAGAGTTCCCAAGCTAGGATAACAAGTAACATTGGTGTGGACGAAGCAGAGTCCCGAGATCTTCCGGAAGCTCTATATAATCATTTCCACAGTATGAGAAGAATAAAAGGAACCGAGGTTCATCATCCATGCAGGTCAATAAGCCCCTTTTTCAAGAGACAGGTCTTAAATGAGAGTAAAACTAAAGTAATTAATTTAAAAGGAAAGGATTTCTGAAAATAGGCTCCAGGCAGAATAGGAGACTATATGACCTAAGGTGTATGGAACCCATTGATCAAGGTGAGGGTATAACTTTGAACAGAAGGTTTATGCTACGCAATCTACTGTTAGTATTGGCGATAGATTTTGATCTCTTACAAGATAGTACAGCTGTGCTAACTGAAGAGCGAGAGTCTACAGTGTCATTAACAGACCTCCTGTGTTGAGGCGCTCAAATCAAGAACCAGGTTTGGGCATGCCAATGTCGAGTATGACCAAGCTAGCCAGAAGAGGGCAGAGAGCCGATCCAGCTAGCTCAAACTCGAAGTTAAACAAGAATTACAGCTGAGCAAGGAAAGACATCATAATGTAATGACCATTAAGGTGAAGGACTTGAGAGTCCACAGAGCATGGACCCAAATGTCAAGGAAAAATACTTCTTAACATGGTAAGGAGGAGGTCATGATCGCACTGGAAGCTCCCAGTCCTCACAGAGATCTTTGCGTCAGTGTGAGCTATATAGAAGAGTTCATCTCTGGATTAGCAGATTGAACTACTATAGGTATAGCCAAGTGTACTACATCAATCAGATTTGATCAGAAACGTTGTCATACAGCGTTAAACTGTTTGGCAATTCCTGTGAATTGTCATTTAAAAGACACAGTGCACCTTTAGGTTGTTGGAGTAAACAAACTAGGCCCAAAAAGAGGCAAGGTTGTGCTCACTAACCAAAGAGGACCGTGGTGGAGAGGGGTGAAGCGGCCAATGATGACAAAATCACAAAGCCAGGGTATGGAGCAGACTGGAGACGCCACAGAGTGTCACTAAAGAGCAAGAACCACAATATACATTCGTGCGAGTGACATCAGTGCTGAGGACACAAAGACTGAGGCGTTTCCACAGGGGAAAAAAAAAGTAGGAGGTTGAAAAATGAAGTCTAGATGGTATAAGCGGAGAAACAATTCCCACTCACCCTGCACAATCACTCCATGCTTAAAAAAATGAATCAAGGGGATAGGGTCACACTCAGAGAGCCAATGTGCTAGGGCTGGATAGAAGGCTCATGTATTTAAAGACATTAAAGCAGAATACAGACACTATATGTCACATCGAAAAAATCCTCCCTCAAGTTAAATGGGCCACACCTCCCTTGAAACAAAATGTTATATTCCTCTTCTGTTCCTTTTCTATATTCTTGTTTTTTTTCTATTGTAATGTTTAACTGCTTGTCAATCCTTTGTACTCATTGTAAATAAATATATTTAATTAAAAAAACATGTTTCCCTATAAACAGATATCTAGTGACAGAGTAAGTGTACAGTGATTGGGACACACAGAAACTGTGCCACAACTCTGGACTTAGAAACAGCGCTCTGCAACTAACGGGCTTAACGTAGCCAAACACTAGTGGATTTTCATTTCTGCCATGAACCCTCGATCGATTACAGCTCAAATACCTCATAAAGCAAAAAGTCAAATGTTGATTTTGGAAATCGTTCATTAGTCATACTAACCAACCAATCTTTGATGAACAATGGAAATAATTTCCTTTTGCGCATGTGCTGTGTTCTTGCTTCGATTTCTGCCGCACGAAAACCCCACTGATTCATCAATTTACGTTCAGTCAGAGAAACATTTTACAACCTGACCGATCGAAAAATTTGGATCATAATATCAAAAACGAAAATCGGTGATGTACCATCAACTGTTCGATCCTCATTCACAAGACAGTTCATGTATGATTTCCAAACAAAAACCGCACAGTGTGTGGCCACCTTTAGCACCAGGAGAAAGGCAGAGCTGAGTGTCGCAAGTAGATCATTTATATTTCCATTGGACACAAATGGTGTTAACAGGGATTGGTATATCGGAGGTGGAACCACTGATCTAAACGAAGAACGTTCCTTGCTTGACACAGAACACACAGGTCTGAGAAGCACTGTAATATCTACATACATAAGTAAACACATGACATGGGCTCCAAGGTTTTACAAGTTCCCATATGTCCTGTAAGACAGAAATGGTTAAAGTGAGACCACACACCACTCCATCACAGTAATAACAGTCTGTATTTGTTTTCTTGGTTGTTGACGAGGTACAATTTCGGAAGTGTCAAACCATAAACCAATTCCATTTTTGTAAAATAAACCTTGGAACTATGATGAGGTCCATCCAGATTGTTTATTGGTAGTGAAAACCTGCATAGGAGTTCCTATTTATTATCAAATAACACAAAACATTCTAAAGAACAGAAACGGTCCTAGATTAATAAACTGTTGTTTAACTCAGTGGTTCTCAACATTTGGGGTCAGGGAGTGGATTCTCTATAAAAGTGTACTAATAACTTTTCAGACACAATTTCATAGAAATTAAGAACTGTACTGTGAGCAATGTAGCAGGAGGTTAGACAATGTGTATGTGCCTTCAGGATGCATGCACGCAGAGAATGGTCCTTCTTACAGTATCACAAAAACTGAAAGCTGCTTGATAAACATCAACCTATTATTGATCCTTCATCCTTTATAATGCCCTTTGTGCATGCACCCAGGAATTCCCAGTCCAGGATAATTATAGGCTCAGAAACCGGAAGAGCTGAAGCTTGTTAGCCCTGGGGTATGATCACAAAGGACCATTCTAATTTTCTACAGTGGAAATGCAGTTACTGCCAATTTAATAAAACCTGTTCAAAGGAAACCAAAAACAAAGCAGTAGTTCATAGCACCCAATCAGCTTTCATCTATCTATTTATGGGAAAATGAAATTAGAATGAATAGGTTGTTGTGGGGCAACTCTGGATCTGGCTTTAGATAAATCAGCTACATTATTCTGAGAAGCACTGGGGTGAACTCCCTGAATTAGTAAGCCGTTCACCCATGGCAGGAAGTATAGCCAGTCATATGTTTATTGTGATTGTGTTTGCAATAATCATTCACTTCTTAGGCCCGCCATTATTTCTTTTATAAAACACACCTATATAGCCTTTACTATGTTTTACTAAAGCCAGAAAGGGGGATTACTTGCTTCTCACGTCTCTCAAAAGCTGCTACAACCCAAGGAGAATTGATTTAGGTCTTTTGAAGAATATAGTCTTTGTTTAAAATACACCGCATCAGTAGTATCAGGTCTCAAAAAGTTTGTTAAACGCGGTTCCAACTTCTGAGATCATGTCGCCTGTAGTCATGGAACGCCCATATTTCTGGAACGCTTGGTGGTTGCATTGTCTTGTCAGAGAACAGGCTCCAAATGCTGCCACCATGAGAGGATTGTAGCTGGAAGAAAAAAACAAAGAATGAAAATGATGGGCAACCTTACCGATGTAGTCAAGTGAAATCATTCCAACAATAGGAATCATCACCAAAGAATGTCACATTTTACATGTTTGTTTTTAATATAATCGGAGAACTCTGTGCTAGAACTTCACAGGTCTCCATGAATACGTCTGATATGTCACAATATATAGCAACAATATACTGAAAAGGGTTTTTTTTTTTTAATCTTAAATCAAGGACACTAGCAAAAAACCGAGGTGTGCTGGTAGTAGGAGGGGGTTATCCTTGGCTGGCCTAGAGAGATTTTTGTTTGTCAGTGTCCAATCCTTCTGCAGGCAACAGTATAACCAGAGAGTATATGACTTCCTGTGTCCTTTAATGGATGAGGAAGAAAGCATTTTTGTCTCACCTGTAAAATACATTTCTTGGAGTACATCACACAGAGTTAATTCTGACACTAATGGGTTACTCAGCTACCTTAAGGTGATTGGACTCTGACCAGTCTGCCTCCGTTTTGTAGCAAGCAAAACAGTAGATAACAGAAAACAGAGAGGAGGGTCCTGAGAAAAGATTCTACAGGTAAGACACAAATCCTGTTTTCTTGATCATACATCACAGGACAATGGGAGTTAATTCTGGAAATAATGGGACATCCAGAAGCAGTCCAACAGAGAGGTGGGCACAGCAACAAATGCTAACAGGCTAGTGAAATACACATAAACCCCAACAAAGGAACCATAATGGAATAGGCCCACAATTCAAAGGGATACCTGAAGAACTATGCGACAAAGGCTGGCATCTTCTAAGGCCTGAAGTGCGAACCGAGGACCAGACGGCAGCCTTACAAATTTGAGATACCGAAGCTTGACGCTGATAAGCCCAAGAAGCACTAACACTTCTAGTAGAGTGCCTTGACCCAAAAGGGGAAAACTCCACCCTTCAGTTCAGGGATTGTTCAACAAATTCATCTAGTGATAGTGGAACAAGATTCAAGTTGCCAGGGGACCTTCAGGAATGATGAAGAGGGAGTCAGACTTGTGAATTAAAGCTGGAGCAAACTGGGTGGGGACGGGGTTGTTTTTTCGCTACAGGTGGTTGGCTCACATGCTAAGACTGCAAATGCTTCTGTATGACATTGCTAGAGGGAACGGTGAAGATCTATGGGGCTTAGGTGTGTGGCCTCAGTTACATGTTTATTTTTTTCCTCATGAGTGTGGAAGAGATTAAAATCCTGTCCTGGAATATCAGGGGTCTCAACTCCAAATTCAAGCATGTTAGAAAACACAATCCCCACATACTACTTTTGCAAGAGACCCACCTGATGGGTAATAGGTTGCTGGCCTTGAGACACCCTTGGGTACAGAGGTCGTTTCATGCTTTGCATTCCGCATACTCGAGGGGGGGTGTCTGTTCTGCTTAACAAATCTCTGCCATGCACTATTGAGGAGATTCACACTGACCCTAATGGCAAATTTGCTATTTTAGTGTTTACCATGTGGATGCAGACATATATTGTTGTCAATGTTTACCTTCCTCCACCGTATAATTCTACTGTATTGTACACATTGCTAGATAAGATTTAATGTCAAGGTCCCGCAAAAACACTGTTTATGGGAGATTTTAACTCCACATTGGCCCCAGATATGGATCGATCTGGCTCTGCTGGATCGGGCCTCTCCGACTTGGGTGATTGGGCGTTGACTGCTGGTCTCACTGAGGTGTGGAGATGGAGGAACCCCACGACAAGGGCTTACTCTTGTTTCTCCGCCTCTTACAAAACTTCATCTCGCATAGATCTGGCATTTGCCAGCGGCGCCCTTTTACCTGACATTGGAGAAGTTGGATACCTACCCGGGGGCATCTCAGATCACTCACCTATGTGGTTAACCCTTTGGACCAGTCAAAAAAGGGATGGAGCCCTTTGGCGACTGGCTCCACACTGGATATCTCACCCTATGGCTCTGGAAGCTATTCCGACCTCTGTTGAGCAGTATTGGGAACAAAACGCCTCCACTGCGGGGCCCGCTGTTGTTGGGGATGCATTCAAGGCCTATGTGAGAGGTGACTACATGTCCCTCTAGAAGGCGATAAAAAGAAGGACTCAGCTTGTACGGTTGAACTCCAAGCTGCAGAAGCTGATTGCCTCTCTCGATATGGGTTGTCCCCCACTCCTGACAATTTTGATGCTCTTATGTCAGCGAGACGCACACTCAGCCTGCATCTTGCGGACCTAACACGAACTGACTTATACAACTGCAAACAAAACTTTTTTGAAACTGGGAGATAAGAATGGGCGTCTGCTGGCAATGCTATCACAGGCGGCCCGGCCTCAAACGGTAGTTGCTGAATTGCGCTCTGGCCCGGACACATCTGTTACCTCCCCAGATGCCATCCTGGAGGTATTTAGGAAATATTACACCACCCTTTACTCATCCACATTGCCGACAGACGCCCAGTCCCCGGACTTGCGGTCTATGCTGGACTCAGTAGCCCTGGGATGGTTATCAGACAGTCAAAGAAGCTTTCTGACAAAGCCTATAACAGAAGTTGAGGTGCTCGCAGCCATACGTTCGTTCCCTAACGGGAAAACACCAGGCCCAGATGGGATTCCTATGGAATTTTACAAAACGCATGCGGGCTTATTGGTCCCTAGATTGTGAGATGTATGCCTCTTATCTGGAGGCAGATTGCCTACTGCCCTCTATGACTGGAGCCCACGTGATTTTAATCCACAAGACACCTAGAGACCCGACTGATTGCGCCTCCTACATGCGCATTGACCTACTTAACTGTGATTTAAAAATTCTAACCAAACTACTTAATGTGAGACTCAACCAACTGACGGATAGTCTGATAGAATCAGACCAAACGGGCTTTATGCCCCGTAGATCCATTGATATTAATTTGCGTCGACTATTCACAAACTTGCATGCATCCCATGTTAATAGCGGAACCAGGGTGGTGTCTCTTGATATAGAAAAGGCCTTCGATACAGTGGAATGGACCTACCTGTGGGCCATACTGGACAAAATTGGATTTCCCTTGGAATTTACTTGCTGGATTAAACTACTGTACCATAGTCCTGTGGCCTCTATAAAACTTGGGAATAAACAGTCAGCTCCCTTTCCTATCTGCAGAGGTACTAGGCAGGGTTGTCCGCGGTCATCCACTCTCTTCGCCTTGGCCATGGAACCCATAGCCGAAGCTCTACGGACATCCCACCATATTCGGGGACTTAGAGTTGGCTGGTTGGAGGAGAGGGTGACGCTATATGCGGATGACCTGCTTTTATTCGTCAATGATCCGGGACCCTCATTGCAAGGTGCCTTAGCTGTTCTCGCTGAATTCTCAAGTGTATCGGGTCTAAAAGTTAATTGGCATAAGTCCATACTGTTCCCCATTGATGCAGAGGCCAGGTCTATACCCAGAACTGTCACTCAACTCTCCTGGGTGGACTCACTCAAATAACTAGGGGTAGTAATATCCGGATCATCTCAGGAATATATTACCCTGAACATACTCCCGATACTAGGTGATATGCAGCAGAGAGACAGAAAGCGTGGACGAACTTACCTTGGTCCCTAATGGGAAGGATTAATTTAGTAAAAATTAAGATATTGCCCAAATTGACATACATCTTTCGTAACTCCCCTATATGGATTACTAAACCCTATTTTCATCAAATGAATCAATTAGTCTCCTCCTTCTTATGGAGGGTCTCAGCCCCCGAGATATAAACTCACGACCCTAATGCGCCCCACTCTCCAAGGTGGCTTAGCGCTCCCGGACTTTTACAAATATTTCCTTGCTACCCAAATGGTCACGGCCAACTGGTGGCTCTCATCTGATGTCAACTCCTCGGTCATGTTGGAGGCTGCCATTTTGAACTCAGTCGAGGCACTAACTGGCCTACTATATAGAGGACCGAGAGCCCCCTATCCTCTCACCCCTTCTATGCGCACTACTATCAGGGTGTGGCACACCTCTGGTACTCTAGAGCTGCTTTAGACATCTCCCCAGAAACTCCTTTTGTGGAATAACCCCCAATTGCCCCACTTCTACACAATTCCTGACCCCTCTTTCTGGGCAAAGCGTAACGTAAAATGAATATCTGATATTGTAGAGGCAACTCCCTGATGTCATTTGCTGACCTAGTCACCAGCCGCCCTGTCCCACCCAAATATATATTTCCGCTACTTACAGCTCTCCCATGCTTTCAGCTCTCCAGGAGGTAGGATCAGCCTAGGCATGACTCCACTGGAATCTCTTGCAAGGACAGGGAGACTGGTGAAGCCTGCCCTTTGTTTCTATAGCACCCTGCAAACATTGACTTCCTCCAATTTTATTAGCATTACAATCTAAGTGGAGGGTGGACATTCCCAGCCTGGATGAGGAGGACTGGGAGGAGACCTGGGATGCACCGTTTAAACAATTCGTTGCAATACTGGATAGAATGGTACAATTTAAAATCCTTCATAGAGCCTATTTCACCCATCACAGTCTACATAACATGAATGCATCCATCTCTCCATCCTGCTGGAGATGAACATGCTCGGAGGGTAACTTCTTCCACTTTTTTTGGGAATGCCCCCTCATTTCCTCCTACTGGGGCTCCATAGTTGACTTTATCTCAAGAGTCACCTCTTTACCACTAACACGGTCACCAAAAGTGTGTCTTCTGGGCCTGGTGGAGGTAGCTCTGACCAGGTCTGAACGCACGCTGATAGGTTTGACCTTGTTTTATGCCTGCAAGGCTATTGCCATGTGCTGGAAGAAGCCGGCCTCGCCGGAATTGTCTTTCTGGAAGAAGCTAGTGAATGACAATCTGCCTCTATACCAGGACACGCATGCCCACAGGGGATGCCCTGACAAATTCCATGAAGTTTGGGATAGCTGGTTAGAATGCACAAACTCTGCAGTAGACTTTGACGCAAGAGTCTGAGTGGGACCTACTGCCCCTCTCGGAGAACCCTGGATACACTTGAACCCGTGTCATACCATCAGACCCAGAGAGATCCTGTGCCACACTAAGAGATACACCTCTTTATAGCAATTATGTTATGACCGAGCCCCTAGCAGATATGTCTGAGAGAAGCTAGTTTGGCCCAGTGAGCTATGTTGGGAACCGTTCCCCCACCTGTACTATGGAAAGCTTCCTGAGCAGGATAACTCTCCTTTGTTTTATAACTATTTTCCTTCTTTTCTAATTCAAGTTTAGATGTCTAATGTAAAATGTATGCATTGCTATGCCTGGTGCCCAAATTATTGGACACAAATAGCATGCACTGTTGTGTTAAAAGTGTAAAACAAATTATTTTATTAACCAGTTGTAAAATGCTGGTCCAAGCAGACTGGGGGAAAGGTAAGATACGTCCCACGGACTATTTCCTGGGATAATTATTGTAAAAAGAATCTCAAAAGATGTATAATACGGCTTATATTTCAGTTTCAATAACAGCCAATAAACAAATACAGAAAAAGCAAAGCAAATCTTATGAGGTGATTTTCATATTTTTCAATGTGCGGCCAGCTACAATTTTCTAACAATGACAAATTGAAAGTTTGGCTATTGTGGGGTGTTTTGTACAATGTATTTGTAAAGTATACCAAAAGAACGTAATTCTTGGTATATTAAATTAGCTCACTGTTTCTGCAGAAGTCTTTATCTTAATAAAACACTGGGACTCGTGACCGTAGTAGGCAGTTTTTTTCCCACTTGACATACAGCAAGCAAAAAGTGTATTGGATGCAGATGTGAGCTTCTAGAAAAGAGCGACAGGACTGCAGTTTGCTGAAAATGTTACATTATATGTAGCAGACATGGAGAGGAGTGTTATTTACTCTCAAGAAAACCAAAAGTTTACCAACTCGTAAGATGTCATTATAATTCTGTAAATGGAGAATCATCATTTTTGTCACTGAGAGATCATCTTCCTTGTCTAGCTTTACATTCATTTCAGTGTTAAATCTCTCTGTAGCTAGAGATCAACGTTGCCTGTGCAGCACTAGCATAAGACTAGTAGAATTATTTAGATTTAACAAATATTACGACATACCCATTTATCTTTTCTGGTCCAGCAAGGCTTGCCCAATGTACTAAGACACCAAGGGAACCAGCCAGAAGATCTCCCTGTCCTCCACATCGGCGGTTACTTCCTTCATGAGTGCATACGATCACTTCAATATAAAAGACATTTTGTTTGGTCATTTAGTAGTAGAGGACTGGTTTGTAGATCACGTTATAATGAGCCTGTACTTTTATAGATAAATATCCTGCATACTCCACAAGATACAGATTACCTTTATTAGCCAGAAAAAGATATTTCTGACTAATAATGGTATAATCGGCTAACTAATCGATTTTGAAAATAATCGTTAGCTGCAGCTCTAGTAGAAGGCTTATGGTGGTTTGGTGTCCTCTTAGGAAAAGTTGGATTATGGTTGCACTATAAATAATGAATATTATAGGAATGTGGTGCTTTCCGAGTACTATAGTGATATATTACAGATGGTGCCGTGACCCAATTGTAGACAATAGCCTATACCACCAGCATATCATCATCTTCTATTTGAGCTCCATTAACTTGACACAAAAACAGAGCAGCAACATTTCAGAGCTCTACATCAGCTTCATCAGACACGAGTAAGAATGAAGTCACTCTTGCCTGATAAAGGAGGTGACAGAGCTTAGAAACGTTGCTGTTGTATTTTTGTGGTGAATAAATGGAGATCAAAAAAGGAGCAGATAATGCTAGTGAAGACTGGTCAGAACACACCTTTAATGTGCAAGAAATTAACGAAAACAGTTCATGATTACAGTGCGAAAATTACTATCATAATCAAATCATTCAGAATGTGCTACTCCACAGTGGAAGTAAAAGTTCATCATTTCTGTTGCAGCTTTATAGATTTTCTAACATATGTTATGTGCATGACAGCTCCATGAGAGTAATAATGGGCTCTTTAACAGTTTTTTTAACCCTCTAATTTAGAAGTGTGTTTTTTTTTCCCCATCCAGTCCGAATAAAGAAAAATTTCTATAGCAGAATCACTGGTCAGTGGCTCCTAAATATACCATGATAAACAATTATGAAAACTGGTACACAGAAAAAAAAAGTTCTAATAAAACAGATAAGACTGAATGTTATACATTTTGTTTCTGTCTGCAACTTGGAGGGGGGACTGTTAGTCATACATGGCTTAAGATTTAGCTCAAAGATTTAGCCTGCTCTCTGTTGAAAATCCAAGGAGAGGATCTGCTAAGGACAACATTGGCAGGTCATAGGTGCAAGCATAGGGGAAATTAGGGAATCTGCCATATTTAGTTTTTTTTATGTGGCAGGCCCCAGCCTTACTAGTGCTCATATCTTGAACAGAAGAGAGCCACGGCTAAATACAGATCATTCCCAGGCAGGAGGTTGGAGATATTAGAGACGTTTTGCTGCTGAAGTCAAGTTAAAAGGTATAACTTATTTGCAGTTAATGTTTCAAATAAAAAGTACACTGTCCACAATACAAGAGTGTGCCACTGTACATAGCCAAGCCGGTAGAAATACAAACCTTTATCTCCATCTGAAATCAGATCCCTCTCTCCCTTCTGCACTATAGTTATATTTCCCATTGCCTGACTAAGCCTCAGTACACTTCCATGTTGGTCACTGGCATCGACAGGTTCAGTGAGCTGCAAGAGAAAAAAAAACATTCCAACCTATAATAATGCCATAAGGGACATGTCTGGCCAGTTTCACAAATTTCATTCATTAAAATAAATATTGTGCACTAAAGTAGGAAATATGGAATTTATGATCTAGAAATTCATTCTGCAATTTGGTATTAAACAAACAGTGCTCCATATAAAATGGTTTAAAATATGGTTCATAAGTCACATGTGACAGTAATGTAGAGTGGTATTATGAAGTGCTGCAGGTCCTCAACAGAAATCTGTGAGGGCAAAAATAATAAAGCCTCCGATGCTGGCGACGTACACTGTACGTCGTCAGTCACGAAGGGGTTAAAAGCGTAATTTTGTAGGTGAAAGTTTTTGGGGTATCAGCTGTTTTTCCTCATTCATTGCTTGGCAAGCCCCTGACCTGGAACCTGACTGCATGTGTACATCAGGTGTAGAAACATATGCACATACTTGCTCTGGCCCAGCTAATGAAATTCAGCTAAGAAAGAACTGGCAGTCTAAAGCATGTACACTTTAAATCCAGTCAGCATTGCTTCCTTTACAAGTATATACAAGTCAGGGGACCTTGTGCCAAGCAGTTATTATGGTCTGCTGTGCTGGTGTCAACACACAGTATTTAGCTTTGCTACATACTTAGGTTCAAAAAGAAAGCTTGTCATTTTTCTGGAAATTGTCAGGGATGCATAGAGGGGAAGACTGGAGCAGCTGTGCATGACAGCCAATCAGCCTCCAGCTTTCATTTTCAAAAACTTACCTGAGCAAGGTGAGGATAGAAGCTGATTGGTTATTATGCACAGCTGCTCCAGATTCTGTCTGCTCCACTTTACGTAAAATTTCCCCCATACACCCTAAAACAGGGTTATGTCAGTGCACAGTTATGTTTACCATTGCTTCATACAACCGGGTGAACTCCATGAAATTTGGAGTGAGCACAGCTCTCTGATAACCTTGTATAATAGATGGCTGCTGGGCAATAAGCCATAGTCCATCCTAAAGAAAGAGAAAGACCATTAGTACTACACCACAGAGACTGGAACATACCCCAGTATCAGAGCAGGATACTTACTGCATCTATCACTAGAGGAATACCTTTCAACTTTGCCTTTTCAATTATACCCTACAAGAAAGGGCACCATTAATGCAAGTCGCAACAATAATGGACAATAAAAGAATGTACAAACATGTCAAACAGTGATTATAGTTTACAACTCCAGTCATTCTGCATCGTGAGTGAACCTACCACACTGTTGATTATACTTGCCAAAAAACACTTTGCATTTCATTCTAGTAAACATTAGTAAGTGTTTTGAAGACTCCTACAGCCACAAATCAAATTCAAACCTCCGTGAAAATATGATGACTGGGCAATACAAAGCATCTTCAGAGAAAAGATAAGTGCATGTTTAAAAATAAATATTTGTTTTTTGTGTGTAAACAGTAATAAATATACCCAAAAGAATAATTTGGAGTCATTTTATGCGTTATAGATAAAACACACATTTTATGCCTGAAGAGTACTTAACATTTGTGAAGTAATGAAGACTGTAAAGCCATCTTTTTAAACAGGCATCTTTACCTGAAAAGCATACTTGGTAGGAAAGATCTAAAATCTAGAAAAAGGGAAACCCTGTGACTCCACAGGGATTCCAGAAACAAAAATAAAAAACACTAAGAAGGAGAGAAATGACACTGTGTAAGAGTAAGTTACAAGTTGTGGCTGTTACCGGCTTATATATGCTACAGGTAAAGCCTGGAGTTGTAGCCTGTCTATTGCCGGTTGCCCAGCCGTGTCCACAAGTGCATTCGAATTAACGCACATTTCTGGCATTGGCCCAGCACAGTATAAACATATAGTATATCGTTTTGCACATTGAGGATGGAAAACAAATAGTTCATGTGCCACTGGTCATCGTGGGATTAAATGGGGAATACCTTTGCTGTTTCCAGGATGGAGTCTTGTCTTCCAAGCCCTGGTCCTATTACAAGCGTATGTAATCTTGGAAGCCATTTTTCAAATTCCTGTAAAGCATTTGGGTGATCCCTGTGTGTAAAAACAATAAAGCTGAATAGGATCTACAGGAATGAATAAAAAGGAATGTATAGTCTTCTCTGTGTTATTTTAGATATACGTACATACACACATGATGTAAATAATAATAGCAGTGTTGTTACTCTGTAAAAGTTGTAGTTACTCATTTCATACAGGCTTTGCAATGCTACACAATAATTGTAAATGTAGTGTTTACACTCTCTCCCATGGCTAGTATTCAGTTTCCAAAATACAGATACATGATTACCTATTCATATTATTGTATTATATGTGCTCACTAACAATACGCTGGGAGGAATTTATCAAAACTGGAGAAGCTGTGCATGGCAACCAATCAGCTTCTCTCTTCAGTTTGTTCACTTAAGATTTTAAAATGAAAGAGAAGCTGATTTGTTGCCGTGCACAGCTCAGCTGCGATAGATAGATAGGATAGATAGTGTAGCATTCTATTATTATGTGCTTGTTTATCAAATGGGATCAGCTAAATACCAAAGTCTCATGAAGCACAGTTTCCTCTGAACTTTCTAAGAAAGATTGCCAACGGCCATCATGCAATCTGACAAGTAAAGAAAGAAAGAATGGCGGGTACATTACAGACAGTGAGACGGGAGAATCTAAAATGGACTAATATTGTCATTTTTGTATATACAGATTATGTTGTAGTTGTCCTATAACTGCCACATTTCTAACAAAAGTTTCTTAGCTCTATTTAATGTTAGCAGATGTGAACGTCTAGAGACCAGGACTTATAAACAGACAATAAATACAAATGCTGTTTTGTCTGTACAGATACTTACAGAACTGGATGTACAATCAGCTCTGGACTGTATGCCTTAATGACAGTTGCTGCATCTTTGGTACAAAACACTTGTGACAAGTCTGCACCCTATGGAGAACAAAGTTCACATGAAGTAGACTTACAACTTACAACAAATTCAGTCTTTAAAAAAAAAATGCATGCTCCAAATCTCTAATACTGGCCATATACACGGGGTCATGGCAAGATGTAATGGTTATTTCAGTGAAATCATTGTATTTTCCTTTTCCTTTGCTGCTTCAATAATTTTAAAGTGCAAGAAAGGGCTAAGCCAATGATCGACTGATTGTTATCATGTGCTTATGGCCAGCATAACTTCCAACCTGTCGATAATCCTTCACCTAGCACATAATAGTTAACCCTGCTTTAACCTGGACCCCAAAAAACTAAAATAAAATGTTCAACCCTATATGATCTGAAATAAAAAAAAATAACCACATTGAAACAAAGTTGAATTTACCACTTTGAGAGCTGAAATTGCTGCAAAGTATGGAGCTCCAGTATATCTGTAAAAGTAAAGTGATAATACTACCTGTTATTTCACTATTATTTAGTTTTTGGTAGTGAAAAATAAAAGCAGGCCAAGAATTGTACTCACTCTTGACAGCCTCCAACAATGCCAATTTTCCCATCCTGGCCCTTGTGCTTCTTGGATGTAAGTGGAGGGATGACATTCTTCACCAGCTGGAAGATATTGTCCATGTCCTTTGACGGGCGTGTGGGGCGCAAGGAGAAGGCTCTCTCCAGAACTAAAGAAAAAAAAGTTACAATTTGTTCATATCATCAGTCAAATACTAAGTGAGATACTGCAAACTCGGTATACTGGCATACTACTTTATATCTGCTGTACACATAAAAGCTCTGCCCTTAAAAAAACCCAAAACAAACAAACAGGCAACTGGTGTCAAAGTAAAAAAAACTAAAATCAGACAGGGCTGTGAAAACCATCTACTTATTCTTTCTCTCAAGACATGGCAGCATACTCATTTCCCTGCATCCCTTTTCCATTCACATAGACACTAAAGAAAGCCCAGCATGCATGTTCTCATGTGACATTCAGCTAGTGGATGAGATAAACTAGACCCTATTGGCTATTTTACCCTAGCCATGCAAAGCCAGAATGTCAATAGGCAGTAGAGGTAGGGTCTAGCCCTATGTATAGCATGGACCTAAGATCTAAATGGATCTGCAGGGATTGATTTAATGACAGACAACAATTAGAAGGCAAGCTCATGCCCTTCAGAACCTTTGTTACCCTGGAAACCTTTTAGGACAGGTCAGGTTCACTTTATCCTAACCAATTCCTTACTGCCAGGTTGTAAAAATAAATGGTGGAGAGGTGGATGTTTATGAATGGCGCACATGGAAGGTCAGTACACCGATGGATAGCTGTGATCTGAGTTGTCATTGGTAACCCCTAAACAATTCTATATTTTCCAAAAGCAGAAAACACTGCAAAATAAAAAAATGGTAGTTGCAATTTTTTTGTTGTATTATATTTGAGCAAATGTTTATAGTTCATAAAAAATTACGATAAACAAAAATGCCCTAGGTGTTGTTTTAGAAGCTTTTACTGCTCATCAACTTATAGTTAACAGTAAGGCCTTGTTCACACCAAATGCAGAGCAGACCTGCTCAGGTTTCTGCACACGCAGTGCAGTGGGTTGTGCCGCGTTTTTGATGCGTTCAGAGTAGTTTTTGGTTAAAAAAAATAAAAGCATTTTTTTTTAGTTCAACATGGGCTTTCAGTGCGTTCCAGGCATTTGCATGAGTTTTTGATGCGTTCCAGAGCAGGTAAAATAGGGCTTGCTGCAGTTTTTTCACCTGCTCTGGAACGGAACGCTGCGATGTGAACTGGAGCAAAAAATACCATTGGAATACATTGGACGCAGTTTTGATCCGGTCTGTAACTGCTCTGCACCTGCTCGGCACTTTGTGTGAACAAGGCCTTAGTAATGGCCCTAAAATGATTGCTCTCACTCAGTTTGCAATGATATGCATCATGTGTGGCGCAGTCATTGCTTTTCCACGACGGCGCACCCATTGGGTGTTTGCATTTGTATGTGCATGTTTAGGAATGTAATAATATTTTATTTGACAAAATCCTCATTGCTTCCAGATTCATTTCCCAGTGAGATCAGACACTGCGTGTGTGCCGATAACCCTCCAACCAACCCGCCATGATGGTCCGCATGAGAGAGTGTGTGTGTGTGTGTGTGTTACATACAAACATACAGTGGTCCTCAAGTGGTTAAAGTGACACAGACCACCAATAATCGTGGAATCGTTTTTGTAAGAAGGAAGTTAAAAAAGGTAAGTTTAAGCATTTTTACTTTATACAATAAAACATTTTTAAAAATAGGAAAAAGAAAGCTTTAAAAAAAACTGTCTTAAAAAACAAAGCGTTGTATGACTGACTAATTGTCAAACTATCATAGCACTGAAAACTGAAAAATGCCCTGGTAATAAAAGGGGTATACACAGGCCAGTACTCAAGTAATTAACGTGGACATGAGTGTCTGGTTCCTTCACAACAAAGCATTTGGGTCATAGTTAGTCAATATTTTCCCTACCTGGTGTTTTAAGGAAGGGGAATATGGCAAATCTGCATTAAAACAAGGCAATTCTCAAGACATATTCCTTTCTGTAATATAGTCCACAACACACTATACTGACTGCAATATTCTAAACAGTGAATTTATTTTATATATGTACCACCATTTTCCACATGTAAATATACAAAAGTGAACACTAGATTTGCTTTTACAAGGTGACTTGGACATCTTATACCTATAGGAGAAGAATAAGATGTAGTAGTATTAAAGTGCATTGTATCCCCATACGTTCTGATATCTCCTCTGTGGGGGCTGATGACACGGCCAGACGTAGTGGTTTGAGACGTGGTAGAGGAGATGCTATTAAGCATTTGTCCCAACATTTGCAACATTTGGATCTCACGGCTGTGCTCAGCTTCTCTTCTTTTCTCCTCAATTTGCAGTCTCTGTTCCTCATATTTGTAGAACTTATCTTCAGCATCCATGCTCTGTTGAAGGAAGCGCTCCATCATTTTGTCCAAAGTCAGGCTTGAGTGATGCTTTTTAGACTTTTTAAGTTGAGGTACCTGAGGTGGATTAGTACTGGTATGAATAGTCTTATACCCTGGGATGGCAAAGGAAAAAACATTTTTACCACAATAAATGCAAGGTTAATTATAAAGAAAAAAACAGCTCACAAGTTTAAGATACATTAGTAATAATTAGAATATAAAATATTTCTGGACAGAAAAAAAAGGGAAAATGACTTTGTACATCTTTTTAGCAATCTTTCAGGACAACCACAGGAGAGATGGCTCCTTCCACCTAAACACACACGAAGATACTAGTAATACAGTACAATCTCATTATTGCCACAGTGCATTACACAAAAAGATAGAGAGAGAGGCAAAACTGATGTACAACAAAAGGGAAAAAGGTGAGGGTAGACATGCTGTCCTGTCAAATACTGGAAAGGGAGTTATTAGAAACACATTTTTTCCAGTAATTGTCCAGGAAAGACTCTGAAAGTATTAAGCGAGACATCTGGGGAGGGGGCACCGGTTGAAAAACTCTATCCAAACGCCTGTTGTTGACCAAATAAGACCCTGTAGGGCCTTTAATATTAGTGGGAACTTAACTGCCCAAGACCAAATTTCAGGCATAGCTAGACTAATCCAAATAGGAGTGGTGTTCTTTCATAGCTTCTTCCTTTTGTTAGGGACCAGCAAATAAAATGTCAAGGCTTCTCTTCCTCCAGTCTTTACAGTGTCCTAGATGAGCCAAAATGTGTCTTCATAGACATTGGCATGGAAACACTAGGACAAGGGGGAAAAAAAACAACTCTTCAGACCTATGAATATTTCATGGTATCTTGGGAAGAAACCTGGGGTCTGTGCACAAAACCATTCTACCTGAAGAAAAATAGTCCAGAATATATCCCTTATGGAAAGTATCGGGGAAACACGGCATTACCACTTTCTCATTACAGGAAGATTTCTTCACACAAATCCAAAAACATACAATAAACAGTGCGTACATAACAGCTCTTGTTTATGCACATATTGGTTATTATGTTCAGTGACCCACTTTTACAGGTTCATGCTGAGAATCTTCCTTTTAAACACAATGCTAAGGTTTAAAAGGCTACTCATCCAAGACAAACAACACATTCTGGTTCTGGACCAGAATCCACAGCCAACAGAATGTGACATCACTTCTGGGCCATGTATCCAAGCAGCAATTGAGATGTGGCATCCCAAAAAACTCTCTTACGGCTGAGGAAGAAATCCCAGAACCAAAAGGCATATCTTCCTTTCAACTGGAGATGTCACCCAAAGAAGCAGCAGGGCTGAAAAGAAAGCTTATTCCGAGGTACTACTTGAAGAGCAACCAAGGAAACCTAAAATGAACAGGGTCCAGGCATGTAGGTGGTTGCTATAAATTTAAAAATGACACAAGGACAAAGGACCGTCCTCAGCTAGTACGTTCTCTTTCAGGAGGAAGGAGTCATGTATCCCATTGGTTGTCTTTTCAAAGAGCAGGCAAAAAAAACATGATCTGTAAACACTGTACGGTATATAATTATAATTCAGAACATCTTTTCTATGTATATAGTGGGAATTCTTTTATTTTTTTAATAAATCAAGTTCTTGTGTTCTTAGCTCAGTATGAATTCTGTGCTTTTCCTTGTGCATTTCCAGTACACCATATGGAGATTTAATTAAAGTGAAACTAGACCCACCTATTTAATGTCTACCAAAACGCATTTACTTTTAAGGCAGGCCAACTGTCAAGGTGACCAGTGCACTTATTTCAGCTCTTAACCAAAAACTTACAAGCCCTCAAATGGCTGATCACATATGCAGCACCATGACAACTGCAATCCAAATATAGGCTAAGATGGCACCTTCCTAGGTTGTTAATGACAGGAGGATGTAGTTCCACTTTAATGATGTAGACTCCTGCTGTTTAAAACCAACTGTCACTGTGTGTAATTAATCAATGTAAACTGCGGTAAATCTACCCCATTCATAAAACTGATAGTATGCAGTGCAGAAATGCATATTAATATTTTCATGTAAAGGTTGATACTATTCAGAAAGGTATACTGAAAAAACACTGAAAATGTATGAATTTTTAAAAACACTTTATGGAAGGTATAAAAGGCATGTGGATCATTGATGTAAACAGTATAGGATCATCGGGGTGGAAGGTGCGGGATCATCGGGATGGAAGGTATAGGGTGGAAGGTGCAGGATCACCGGGGTGGAAGGTGCGGGATCATCGATGTGAACAGTATAGGATCATCAGGATGGAAGGTATGGGATCATTGGGGTGGAAGGTATGGGATCATGGATGTGAACAGTATAGGATCATCGGGATGGAAGGTACAGGGTGGAAGGTGCTGGATCATCGGGGTGGAAGGTATAGGATCATAGGGATAGAAGTGCAATACTATAGAAGAAATATTGTTATTCACATAGCAGAACATCTCATATAAAAAGGAAACTTTATGACATTTTGAAGGATCGATCGCTCACCTTCCCCAGGGTGCAGTGGGATGGCGAAGCTGCCTCCATCCTCCACTTTTATGGGGTGCTCAGAGCCCTCCCCGGAGTCCTCGGTGAAGTTGTCTTGGGATGACTCGGGTCCCCCCTCCCCAGCTGGCTCATCCTCGTCCTCAATCTCCTCGTCATCCTCCTCCCGGTGGTCTCCAGGCAGTTCCTCTGTACAGGGGGGCTCGGGGTGGAGAAGCACGGCTCCACAAGGATGTTCCATCCCGCTGCTGGCCGGTGCCGGCCGTGTGCTCAGTATACGGTCCATCTCATCGTAGTAGCGGCAGATTTTGCGAGCGTGCCCGTTCTTCCTGAAGCCCTCCCGGGCCTGGTAATACTGGCGCTTGAGGCCCTTGATGCGGATGCGGCATTGCTCGGGGGTTCGCTCGAAGCCCAGCTCGTTCAGCCGGCCGGCCACGTCCCGGTACACATGGCTGTTGCGAAAATTGCCGTCCAGGGCCGACTGCACGTCCGCTTCTCCCCAAATGTCCAGCAGGGCTCGGGTCTCCATGTCCGACCACAGGAAGCCCCGAGTGTTGGAGATCAGCCGCCGCATACACACCGACATTGTGGCCCCAAAGAAGTTCGGCCTCCGCTCTCACTCAATGCCTGACTCCCCGGAGAGCCCCGCGGCCTGACGACGTGCCCGGCTCACACATAGCAGAAAGCCGACCATCATTTCCTGGACTCATGCATGGCTGCACTGGCACAAACCCGTGGGGAGCCGAGCGCAGCACCAGCGTCACACGGCTCCTCTTCCATGCTGTCAGCCTGTCTTTTGTCAATAAAGTTTCGGACGTCAAAACAATGAAAAATTACAGTAAACAAAAACAACATCACGCGGGGGTGCGCGGCTGTGGTGACGTCACCGGGTGACACATTCTTTCCGTCATTACTGATCCGGCTCTGCGGAGAGCGAGTGTCACAGATCGAATGACATATGTATTTCTTTATACATCAGTGCTACACTGTCATTACTCTCCAGCATTAATCTACAGCAGCAGTGCTATAGTAATCGAGCCCTGTGTCTGCTCTGATACAACCATTATTATTAGAGCACATGGAGCATCCGTATCTGAATTACATGCAGCCATTTTATCATCTCACAAGGACACACAGACTCATTTTATTATGAATTATAAAACAGGAGAAGGGCTAAGTCATGAGGGTACCACCATGGGTGCACAATTATTGGAACACCTGTCCAGCTAATTGTACATTGATGTTCAGTGTATACGGTGTAGGGCTCTTTCACACATGCGTTTAGAGTTTAATGACAGAGCAACGCTGATTAACATGCCTACAGTGTTTACAAGGAATTCAGCAGGCATTAGGGAGGCGTCAAAAACCCTTGCAAAATGCCCTGCAGGTAGTGTATGTAAAGTGATGTAGTAAAGGGAAGTGACCAGCAGGTGTCGCAGTAGCAGCAATGCCTCTAGAATGCGACATGAAATCTATTTTTTGACGCAACGCTAATGCCCACACCCCATTGTTTTATCCCACATAGGCGTTAATAGGCTGCAGAGAGGCATTAAAAACGCCTGATTAATGCCTGGTTTTGGCGCACGTGTGGAAGAGCCCTTAAGGGTTAGCTCACCTTTAATAATTTTTTTCTAAATCCATTCACATTACAGGTTACATTGTAACTTAAAAACAAACTCTGGGGAAACAAAAAAAAACAAATAACCTTGGGCTATTGCAAGGGTTAAAGTACTATTAGCCACTTGCTGTCCGGTGCAATTTCTTAATATTTGCGCACACAAAATCTGAATTTTTGGCTAGAAAACCGCTTAAAACCCCCAACAATTATATGTTTTCTGAAAGCAGAAGCCCTGTAGAATAAAAAATGCTAGTTGCAATTTTTTATGTTGCACGTTATTTGTGCAAATGTTTATCAACCCAGTATTTTTAGGGTAAAATACACTAAAATGAAATTTAGTGCCCAGAAACAGAATAGAATACCCAATTGTTAATATTAGGGCTGCAACCAACTAATTGATTCATCAATAATTATGAGAATAGTTGTAAACTATTCTCATTATCGAATAGTTGGTTGGATCCCCTAGCTCTCTCCTTCATGCTGGGAGGAGGGCTCAGCAAGCAGTGGGTGGGTGCAATAGCCAGCCTGCTATTGCAATTTGAAATAGCCAATAGCAGGCTGGCTATTGCTCCCAGCCACTGCCTGCTGAGTTTACATTTAGCTGCTAGTGATGGGCCTGGGCGTGTTCACAGCTCCACATGCCGAGCCCGCCAGGAAGCTGACAGCGGGGTCGATTAGACATTAGGGGTCTAATAGACCCCTAATGTCACCTTAAAGAGAACCTAATGTCATAGATCCTGTAGCACCCCTTACCGGAAATCCCAAAAGTGTTGATGGGTGCTTGTAATTACAGCGGATGGCGCTGCACACAGAACAACTTAGAACAAATATGTTATCAGCAAACCAGCCCGACAGACTCATATGTCAGTGCAGATCCCTTTAATGATAGGTGTCATTCAGAATATCAAGCGCTTTCGGAGCCACGCAGGGTCCCCTTCATCAGGCTCAAAGTAGACATCCACTAGTACGTACATGTCTACTCTGAGCCTGATGAAGGGGGCCCTGCGTGGCCCCGAAAGCGCTCGATAATCCGAGTGTCATCTATCATTAAATGGATCTGCACTGACATACGAGTCTCTGTTGTGCTGGTGTGCTGATGACATCTTTGTTCTCCCTGAGGGGAGGGCTTCCGATGATTGCAGTGCCGAGTGGGCAGTGTGCGCTTGCACACACTGGTCCGTGCGACATTAGTCTCCCGAGCACGCCACTAACCTGCCGAAAATCGTACGATTTTCGGCAGGTTTTCAAGCGTGCTCGGGAGACTAATGTCGTGCGACCTTAAAGTAGAAGAGGTCGCACACTGCCCATCACCTGATGATTTTCGCACAATCGCGGGATTATCGTACGATAATCGGCAGTTGTATGTGCCGACTTGCATATTAACCCTTTCACCACCCGTATCCTGCACATCTATACACTAGCCCCTTCATCTCCATTCTCCCACTGTATGTGACCTGTACATTAACCCCTTCACCTCCCTCTGTCTATGACCTGTACATTTATTATATCTTGTGCACTATACCAAGCGCCATGTTTTAACCCCCTCAGTACCGGCATGTTTCTACATTTTCAACAAAATTGAAAAAAAAAAAAATCAGATCACCTTAGAGTGTCTACTTTCCAAAAATGGGGTAATTTCAGGGATTTTCATACTGTCCTGACATTATTTGCTATGATGTATTAATGAAAGTAAAAGAAACAGGCTTTTTTTCCTTTTTTACTTTATATAGTAAAAAAAAAAAAAACAGCAGTTATTAAATACCACTAAAAGAAAAGTTCTATTTGTCCCCAAACAAAGGACAACATTTTTTGCTAAAGTGTTGCGTGATGGAGGAATTCTCAGCCAAACTTGCACAGTGCTGAAAACTGAAAAATGGTCTGGTAATGAAGGGGGTGTAATAAGCCGGTACCGAAGTAGTTAAAAAAAAAAAAAACTCTGGCCAAAAAAAAAAAAAAAAAAAAAAAAAAAACTTTCCCTTGTAGTGGAGCTACTCTTGCACTGCAAGGGTTAAGTGCTCATTTTGTCTAGAAGACTCCAATAAAGCTGTTTTACTGACCTAATCCCAGTTCCTACAGTGGTCAGTGCACACTTCTGTCCCCCTCCTCCCTCAGCTATGGAATGTCCTTCAGTGTCCTCATAGCGAACACAATAGAGTAGGTAACTTGCTCCACTCCTTACCAGAACAATAGTTAACCTGCAAAAGCAGGTGGGTGCTTGTAGCGACCACGGACGCCACCGCAAAGAACTCAAAAATCTGCAAAAATTGTCACCAGCACACCAATAAGATTTCAGTAAATTAATGGAAATTTGTCATTAAATGGACTTTTGTTGAAATCTTATTGGTGTGCTGGTAACAATTTTTGCTGACTCATCTAATACAGGTCAATGAACCTGCAGAAGATGTGATGACGTCAGCAGTCCTTAGACCGGCAGAGTGAAGGAGGGAAGTGGCTGCGGGGACTGCTTTAGCAGCCTGGAGGGAGGCGACGGGCTCCTGGGATTTGTGCAGCCCAGTCAAACTATTGCAACACATACACACACACATATATATATACACACATACCCACACACACATACATACATACACATACATACATACATACACATACATACATATACACACTGGCTACACATTGTTGCTCAGAAAAGGCTTCCTGATAATGGAGGTCCATACCCATGTTGGGTGAAAGAAGGAGCACAACTGGGAGGCAGTTGTCACCCTATGACAGGAAGTGCATTCTTCACGGTAGGATCACCACTTATTCCTTTAACAGAAGATGCAGATTTAAAAAGATTGAAAGCAACTTTTGAAAGTACAAAGGAGACTTTACATGCCCAATGGAGGGTCCGCTTTTATGAAAGACGATCCCAGGGGAAAAACAACAAATGACTTCCCCCAGCCTCTGTCACTTCCGGGAGACATTGGTGGTGTCAGCGTGTCTTCCTGCAGAGCTGAGAGTTCGAAAAAAAACCCAGAATACACTCAAGCCTATTGAAGGAGTGCATTCTTGTAGTATTTTGTGCGCCCAGCCATTATGACATTACTTGTCCCTCTCAGAACTGTCGGGGGCTGGGGGATTTTTCAGGGGGCTTGTAAAAAAAAAAAAAATCCCCATTCACACCTAGGCGTATTGTAATATGTGCGTCTGTCGTGCGACCGTCACGCGGTAAAAAAGTCGCGCGATTCCAAAGGCTACTTGGCTGTATCCCAATGGAAAACGCCCTACAAATTGTGGTATTGTGGGGGGTTGTAAAAAAAAAAAAAAAAAAAAAAAAAGACCTTGTTTCACATGGAAGGTCCACAACTTATACAAACTATAGCAAAGAAAATTAGAGCAAGGGTTAGACCTTGTTAAAGAGAAACTCCAGGAAAACAGTGTTAACCCTTGCAGTAGGGCTACCCCTC